GTTGTACATTTGCTGTTATGTTAAACTTATATTAAAGTTTTTCTTCATTATCCATTCAAGCCGTCTCCTACCATTATTAGTATTAAATAGGGTTACGTCAAAGCAGCTCAATAAAGCGTTGTTTAGGACGTAATTATTAAGAACTTCTAATCAAACATAAGCGAAATCCATACATAACAACTAAGAAAGTAACCTAATGCTAGAAGTGCATAATATCGTAAATCAGTATATATATATATATATATATATATATATAGAAAAGTGAAACCTATCATAGTTTGAAGGCTTTGATTCTTCAGTTGGGGAACCTCGTTATTAGCGATGTAAGAAAAAGTAATAATGTATGCAAACATGGTTCCGTTAAGACCTTTCTCCACATATCTTATGTTATTTTACATGTGACTCTCATATTTTTTTTTATCTTTTTAGTTTCTAAAGGTTTAGTAGCATGTGTTTCTTGGTTGTTTTTTTTAATCTAATTGCTGGCTAATTCACAAAGGTACACGTAGTGGTAATGTTACAATAACTTGTAAATATTTAATTTCTTTTGTTACGGAAGATCGCCGTCAAGCCATACATACATATATATCAAACATTGTGGTGTTTGTTTGTTTTGCATACTCGGGCAAAGCTGCACAAGGATATGTGCACTATGTACAAGGACTATGTCCACTATGTGTCCCTAATGTTAAACTAAAAGACTAGGAGAAAGGGAACTGGTCAATAGCACCCATCACCAGTGCTTAATTTCGAAAAAAAATTACACTGGATCCCTGTTTATTGGAAAGAATTTTCAGTTTTAGAACTAAACGTTATTGATCCTACTACTTGGAATGAGGTTGGAGTGAGCAATGTAGTTGTCTACGTCAGACAAATTTAATTCGCAATCCAACCGAGGCAGTCTTAAAATTAATTAGAGTGTTTACGCCTTTAGATTAAAAAAATAAATCAAAAACGGGTTATGAATTTCAGTTCCGGAGATATCTGGTAGAAACTAAGCACTACCCACCGCCAACTCTTTGGCTACTCTAATCAAATAGAGATCTGACCGTCATTCTTATAACGTATCAATGGCCCCAAAATGTGGAGTGTGATCTTGCGGCAACGGTACATGAACAACGTGCCCTTGTATTCACAGTCTGGCACGCTAACCACTAAGCCACACCAGGCCCACACAGTTGTGAACCACGATAAAAAAAATAAAGTATAATTAGTGCTACTTTGTTCAGTCAGTTGTTTTCATACTTAAATTTTTCCTTATTTTTCCTGATAAACAAACGGTTGCCAAGAGGAAAACGCAGACTGATAAATTAGATCAGTTCGAATTTTGTTTTAAAACTTGGTTGGCTACAAAGGTTCAATAAGTAACAGAAAAATGAATACGAAACAGGAAGTATGGTATCAAGTTTGCATGAGCTAGAACAATGTGCAGGCTGTTGAACAAAACTTGTATATAGAATGTCACGTGTTTAAATTAGAAGCTTTTACCTTGTTGTTTTAACTTCCGCATATCTATGTTTAACTCGGAATGTATTGTAGTGCTGATAAAGACAATTAGGTATTGAGTTGAAAGTTTTACGTGGACTTTTACACAGAAGAGGTTTTTACCGGTATCTGAAACAGAGTAATTTTTCATTTACAGGAAAGTAGTGTTTTAATGATAATAACTTACAATAAACAATTACATACTGAATCACAACAGCTTTCAATGCAATATGTGTATAGTCAATAGAAATTAAAGTGTTTTGCCGTTTCGCTCAAGTTTATATCGAGTCGGAAACACTTCTTAACAGTTTCCCCGATTTCCAAACTATACCACAGGTAAGTAGATTATCACAAAATTTTACTTATTTTGAGTTGGATATCGTACATGTTTTTGGCTATTGTTGACTGCTATGATACCTAAGTCGGTAGCCATAGGTATACATTCTGTATGTATTCTAGAAAACATTCTGTTGTGTTTTTTAACAAAGGTTGCGACAATCGGAAGATTCTGTAACAAACAAAATTCACACCATTTTTTTTATAGACGAAAGGTCATTTTTGACTTACACTAAAGCTTTTTTTGACAAAATCAAGTAGCATTATTTTAGCGCTTTAAAATACAACAATTTTTATTCACGTGACAAACAATTTTAAACAGGCGCATGTCCATTTATACAAAATATTGATCAATACGTTAGAATGCGAGACACGCTGAGTAACTAAAGCATAGTATTTAACTATATATATATAGTAAAGTAGTTATTCCTCACAAAAGACATCGCTTGTTCAATATCATATTTAAGTTTTCTTTACTTTTGTTGTAGTTATTCATCTTCCACTTGAAACAAATTTTACTCATAAAATTCAAAGTACAGATGGTGATGGCTCCCTCTAGTGTCCAGGTGCTTTCTAAATGTAGTTTATGTGGCATACTTACAATATTCTGCTTTTGACTTTAGTATTTAGTATTGGTGAATGTGAATAATATAGAAAATGTATCTTGGATGTATTTTGTATATTTGTACAGTATCGACCACGTTGTATTAACTTCTGTATATGTTTAGCTTGGAATGCACTGTAGTGCCAATAAAGACAATTAGGCATTGAATTGAAACTTGTATCATAATTTTCTTATGAGGTAATATGAAATACCTTTTAAATAATTAACTAACAAACATTTTCCGATTTCTCTATAGATCTATAGTACTACCACAAGGGGGCGTGAACGCATATTTTAACGGTCACACTAACTCTTAAATTTCGACAATATCAGACACTATTTACTTCCGTTTTTCTCATCTAAATCCATCATAAAGTTCATGTTGTGGTAATCTTTCCAGCTCTAGAACTCCCAAGTAAAAGTGAATTTGTACATAGAAGTCAATTATATATATACGAGGACAAAGGAAAGAACAGCAGACAACTTAAGAATGAAAAGTTCATCAAACAGGTCTTTATACATAGTATTTATCGTCGTTGTTATCCTACAAACAATCTACATCTCGACTAGTCCCTGACAGTGGATTAGGTTTACTTTTATTTTGAATTAAACCTATAAATTATAAAGTTTTGGTGTCCACTAAAGGCAATAATGACGTATCTAAAGAATCTTGATCTAATCCTTTGTTAATTTAAACAAGGAATTAGAAAAAGTAAAACACGTAACTTCTTAAAGACTGTAAATAATTAAACAAAGAAGTAACACTTGTGCTCGGTCATCCTGTCCTTAAACACCTTGGTCATCTTTGTCTGTACTCGAACATTCGACGACAGTACGGGGTTCCTCTATGAAATGTCTATGTTCCAGTGATCAAGAGAGTGTACAATGGAGTCAAAATGGACTTTAACATTGATGTAGAGAGCCGGGCTCAATTCCTTAGAAAAAGAAAGTTCATCTTGAAACTATTATCATTTCTTACCTGTTGTTTAAAAACCTTGTGGTGTATCTTACTATAGAACATTCAGTTTGCATTTCATGGAACTTTTCCGTTGTGGTAAAAACAGATGCTAAATACAAGCTTAGTTTGGCAAAGGCAAAAATATGGTATCATTAAACCAATAAAACATCTTTATATGAGAATAAATTGGGCGCTTTGTATTCTTTTAAAAGCAAATTACGTTTTGTTATAATCCTTGAATAAAAAAATACATGCAACCACAACAAATAGCAGGAGATGAGATTATAAGGACGCATAAAGTCAATTGGAGGAATAAACTACAAAAGAAACCAAGTTGTTAAGAGGTTAGATAGGGATTATGTTAATTATTAATTAAATACCTGGATATCACAATACTAATAATTAAATATGAAATAAATAACAAAATATTTATTGAGATTTACTAAATGATAATTTATATAAAAGACGACAACAAAGAACCTTTCTTTTGGAATGTTTTACATTGTACAAATATTTTCAATTCACTTAGCAAACCAGAGTTTCAGATTTTAGTTTACAAAATTAAGTTGTGAGGAGTTTCAAACCTAGATAATCAGATGAAAGTATAAAGTTCTTTTCTGTGAGTTTATCTGTTTGTTTTAAATTTGTGGTTCGAAACTACACGAAGGGCTATCTGCTGATAACTGATCTTAATTCTAGAATGAAAGATTAGAGGGAATGTAGTTAGTTTAACAACCCACCGCCAACTCTTGAGCTATTATCGTCTGACCGAATAGTAGGATTTGACCATCACTCTTATAGAGCACCCACGATCCGAAATTATGGACTTGCGGCAAGTCCAGAATGCTAACTGCTAACCCAAACCAGGCCTCTAATCTATCGATAGATATTTAGCTCTTTCACTATATGTCCAAACGGTTTAGCACTTACTGTGTCTGTAACTCACCATTTATATTCCCAAAATAGTCAAGGACAGTTTTCCATTGTACGCCTCAGCCTGGTGAAAACTGCTATCTACAAATATGCCTTTGCTTCAATTATTCTTATCTATGGCTACCATG